AAAGGAAGAATCAAATGTGTCTCCAGACTGAGCCTCTGTAACATGGAGGGGGTCTCAAGAGGCTGACCGAGAACCGCTGACCTGGAAGGATAAATGTGGCAGGAAGTGGGACAGTGAGACTTTGCTTTCAGGGGTTCTCAAACTCCATGGCACCGTGACCCCCTTCTGACAACAAAAATTACGATGCGACCCCCAGGTGCGGGGACCAAAGCCTGAGCCCGCCTGAGCCCCGTTGCTCCGGGTGGGGCCTGTAACCTGAACCTCGCCGCCCAGGGCTGAAGCCCCCGGGCTGTGGCTTCAGCCCTGGGCAATGGGGCTTGGTCCCAGTAAGTCTAAGCCAGCCCTGGTGACCCCATGAAAACGGGGTCATGACTCACAGTTTGAGAACCGCTGCTTTAGCTCAAAACAAACTGGTAATATCTCACGGCCCGTCTTACTGCCCGTCGTGAGTCACCTGGAGTAACAAACCACTGCCTGAGAAACGTCGGCCTAGATCACCCATTGTCTGAATGGGAAGAGGGCATTACTCTGTGTATATGGACCTGCTGTGAAGGAGCAGTTAGCTGCTGTGCCAGATATGGACTGAGCCAAGGAACGATTAATTCCCCTAAAACCCCCATTTCAAAAATCTTTTCATTATTCGGCTCCCAGTTCATAGCTGTGCCCAGTGACCCTGTCCCTGCTGTGTCTGTCACAGCCAGAGACACTGAAACCCCTCCCGTGGTTAGGAGAGACGAGGACGAAGCACAAAGATCGGCGCCAAATGGCATTCGCACTGGTAGGACAGCGAAGGCCTCCACAAACAGACCGGTTTCGGAGCGGTAGCTGTGTTAGTCTGTATCAGTAAAAAGAACGAGGCGTCCTTGTGGCACCTTGGAGACTAACAAATTTATTTGAGCATAAGCTTTTGTGGGCTAAAACCCACTTCATCGGATGCATGCAGTGGAAAATACAGTAGGAAGATAGATAGATAGATATACACACACACAGAGAACATGAAACAATGGGTGTTACCCTACACACTATAACGAGAGTGATCAGTTAAGGTGGGCTATTATCAGCAGGGGAAAAAAAACTTTTGTAGTGATCATCAGGATGGCCCATTTCCAGCAGTTGACAAGAAGGTGTGAGTAACAGTGGGGGGAAAAATAAGCATGGGGAAATAGTTTTGCAGTAACCAAGTCCCCCAGCCGGAGGGAGGGAGAGAGAAACCGAGGAGAAGTAAGCGGGGAGAGAGGTCACAAGCTCCCAGACCTGCTCAGCTGCAGTGCCTGTCTCGGCACTGGACAGATTGTATCCAGTCCCCACCTCTGCCTAGATCCCACCCTCGGGGACCATGTCGGGAGTTAGAGTCTCAGTGGAGTTAGCCCTGGTGGGAAGGGTCAGGTCTGCACTGCAATAAGAACGGCCATACTGGGTCAATACAATAAAGCGACTGAGTGTTTTGACCAGTAGCAGAGCCGGGAACGTTTTTCTGCGGGGAAAGAGCCTGGGGGAATGTGCTGTGACTATCACTAAAACTGGTTCTGAAATCTCTCCAATCCCCCTCCTCTCCCTGACAGGCTGCAGAACGACATCCGCCTTTCCCTCCGGATGGGCCCAGCCTCCCAGGGGATGGGGAAGGGAATCGGCTGCCGGGGAGCTGGCTGAGGTAGGCATTGTCAGGGAGTGGCTGGTGGGTTCCCTCTGCACGGACAGGGGCAGTAAACCCAGAGGAGGTGGGAGCTTCTGGGGAGTTTAGTCTAGAGGTGGGAGGGGGCAGGAAATCCACAGGGTGGAGAAAAGCGGGGGGACAGGCTGTGACTTGTTTAACCTGGGGCTTAGATTCTAGGAACAGACTCATGGGGGTTGTGGGAGGAAACTGCCCTATTTATGGGACAGGAAAAGCCCTTGAGACAGAGCTGGAGAAATGACCAGCCTGCCCGTGCGGCAGCTAGAGCCCACTGACCAGAGGCTGCTGGGAGATACGAAGGGGCTTAGGGGAGATGCCCCATCCCCTCATGCCCGTCTGCTGGCAATGAGGAGGATGTTTGGATTCCCACCGGGGAGCTGCCCTTGGGCACTGCTGGGGGCTCCATGTCCTGTATCAGCCTATGCAGCGAGAGAGGTGGAACAAGGGCTCTCTCTTTCTCCCTGTCACGGGATCCCTGGGGTGCAGCCTGGGACTTTGGGACCCCTGTGCCCCCTGAACTCTCCTGCCTGGGCGTCTCTCACAATACTTTGCTAATGACAAGCTGCAAACCCCTCCAGGTACTGTTATCACTCAGTGCAACCGCATGTGGAGATCTCTCACCCAGCTCTATTGCATGAATGCTCCCAGAGCCACTCATGAATCACACAGAGAAAGGCACCCGCCAGATCCCCGACTTGTACCGCAGGAATATACCGTCTTGCATTGCTCAAGATAAACAATGAAGTGGATATACACCAGCCTTTGTAAACCAGAGCAGATTTACCCAGCACATCAGGCAAACTCACCGGTAAAGATAAACAGTACAACAAGTTTATTAAAAGATAGATTTTAAGTGATAGGCAAAAAGTCAGAGTGGGTACCAAAATAAAATAAAATATAAGCACGCCGTCTAAACCTTAACCCTTATCACACTAGACCGTATTTACTTGACCCACATGTCGCCTCTGCCATGAGCTAATCACAATAGCCGTCTGATTTAGCAGTATTGGAGGGGCAGGGTGACTCACCTCTTTGTGACCCCCATGGTATGTGCCACAGAGAATAAGATTTAGCCACTGAGTAAATGAAAGCCACCGTTATTGTCGCTTTCTAAATGGCTCCCATCCTTGGATTATTCATGATTTCGGTTATTTTTCCCCCCATGGGTGAATGATGCAAAATAACATTCATACAAATATTTGTTCAGGTGTTAAAATGAAGGAGGAAAAACTCCTTTAAAAAAATAGCTGGCCGGCAAGACTACGGTGAGATACAAAATTAAGACCAAATTAATCATGCCAGTAGACTGAGCTTAGAATACTATATATATAAGCACACAGTCTAAACCTTACCCCTGATCACACCAGACAGTGTCTACATCAAGCAATGTTCTCACCCCCCTGGATCTTAGTCCCTAATATAGACGTTCGTCTCTTAAACCTGGGCCAGTCTCCTCTGTTGAAATCATCAGTTTTGTGAGCATCCTTGTTGCTTGCAGCATAGGCGGGGGCAGGAGAAAGGCCAAGCATGGGGCCCCTGTGTTCTGTTTTTTACCCTCAGTCCATGTGCTTGGAGAACGCAAGTCCAGGCATGTCTGGGGGCTGTTGCTGAGACCCAAGGTGAGGCAATACACCGATCTGTCTCCTGTGAGTGAGTCGTTGAATTGTAACTCCTCTGCTGGACAATGGCTGGTGATGTCTGTTCAACCCCCACCCAGGCACTGGTTACCCTCCCTTGTCGTTGTCTCTGGAGAGCTAGTATCCGGGGACTTCCCAAACCCACAGCATATTTAGTGACAACCCTACAACGCAATTCTCATAACTACATATGCATGAATGATACACATATTTAGATGGAAGTTCTTCTTCACACAGCGCACAGTCAACCTGTGGAACTCCTTGCCGGAGGAGGTTGTGAAGGCTAGGACTATAACAGCGTTTAAAAGAGAATTGGATAAATTCATGGAGGTTTAGTCCATTAATGGCTATTAACCAGGATGGGTAAGGAATGGTGTCCCTAGCCTCTGTTTGTCAGAGGGTGGAGATGGACGGCAGGAGAGAGATCACTTGATCATTACCTGTTCTGTTCATTCCCTCTGGGGCACCTGGCATTGGCCACTGTTGGCAGACAGGATACTGGGCTAGATGGACCTTTGGTCTGACCCAGGCTGGCCGCTCTTATGTTCTTATGGAACAGTGAGTTTCAGCAGATCATAATCTTTCCCACGTCACGCAGCCTGCTCCATCTGCAATATCACAGTCCTATACAAATGAGGAATATGGGGGTTACCGGGCTGTCCCCAGAGGTATAGAGTTTCCCACTCCCCTCACCCCAGTGCCTCCTGGCTGCTCTGAGCGGGGTGCGGATGGGTCTTTGCTGACTGTGAGCCTCCCAGAGCTCCCATGTGATTGGCCCTGTGAACAGTGGGGCTGTGAGTGGGGCAGCAGGTACTGAGCGTTGGGCTCTTGCTCTTTCAGGGGCCGGTGACCTTCGAGGAGGTGGCTGTGGATTTCACCAGGGAAGAGTGGGCTCTGCTGGACCCCGCTCAGAGAGCTCTCTACAGAGCCATTATGCAGGAGAACTATGAGAATGTGACCTCACTGGGTAAGGATTCCCGTCCCCTCGGTTCTTAGAAGGGGAAATGCAGAGTTAAGGTTCACGTCACCCCACAATGCAAACTCAACTCTGTCCTGTTTCAGCAACAGCCCGACATGCCAGTGACACACACACCAGCGCTGTGCCCTGCCCTGCTACACAACACTGCAGGAACAGAGCCCAGGAGCAGAACAGCGCAGAGTCTAACGTGGTCTCTTGGCTAAGGCAAAACGTGGGTTCGGGTCTGACATAAAGCACAGAAGCTGCCTGCCCCTGGCCAGCCCTCAAACCCTGAGCCTGCCGCACACAACCCAGCTCAGATTTACAAACTGTTACCAGCCCTTTACCCTCCCCCTGAGATTCCTTCTGAGTTGTCGCCTTCACTTGCCCCTCACTGAGCCCTGGAGACCAGTAGCATTTTACGCCAGCAGACGGCTGACGCTCCCCGTGGCAAAAACACGTTCTTGTGCACGGTCACTGACACAGCCTGCAACGCTCAGCACGGAAATGAGGCAGACTCGGTCCCCCAGGGGTCACATGCACCTCTCTGCATACCACGGTCACAGCTCTGCCAAGGTGATCCAACTGCTCCCTCCACCATCCAGTTACAGCTGACCCAGTGCACACAGCAGTGGGGCATGCGGATAAATGCCGGTGTTCCGATCTGTGGAACACCACACAAACAACGGCACGTTCTCTTAGTCCTTCCTCGTATCTATGATAGATTCACAGATTTTAAGGCCAGGATGGGGTGTTAGGTCATCTAATCAGACCCTCCTGTACAACAGGCCATGGAATTTCATCCAGTTACTGTGGTACTGAGCTGAATACCTTGTATTTGACTAAATCAGGGGTCGGCAGCCTTTCGGAAGCGCTGGGCCGAGTCTTCATTTATTCACTCGAATTTAAGGTTTCGCGTGTCAGTCATGCATGTTAACGTTTTCAGAAGGTCTGCTAGAATCGCCACGCATCATTATTCTAGAGCAGCTCGACTCCACCGCAGGGGGCTTGGAGAAACCGAACTACGGGCTTGTCTGCGCTTCAGATGCTGCAGTAACACTTCGGCATAGACATTAACTAGCGTCATGGGAGGGGTTCTCCCATCACCGTAGTTAATCCACCTCCCCAAGAGGCGCTAGCGACATTGATGGAAGAATTCTTCCCTTGACCTAGCGCTGGGTAGCCATCGTGGATAGTTCTCTGAAGACATCCACGCAGTGTGCAGCGGCGGTCAGAAAAGCAAACAGGATGTTAGGAATCATTTAAAAAGGGATAGAGACTAAGACGGAGAATATCTTATTGCCCTTATATAAATCCATGGGACGCCCACATCTTGAAT